CTTTCCCTGTGAGAAACATTGTTTCTCTTTCCTTCTAAATCACGGATTCTGCACTCACGGAAAGGTGTCTCGTTCCCCCGTGGTTCATTTACAGCGTTAGAGGATCTGGGATGGACTCGCATCTTTGCAAGAGTGAGGTCATGCCTGTAGTAGTTTAGCTTCGTGGTAGTATTCCCAACAATCCTATGTAAAAGTATGGTAGAGAACTTAACTGGTGATTCAAACAAATGACCTGTTGTTGAGTGTTACTTAGTAGGAGTGTGTATAAGGCATATTAAATTTAAGTTGTAATAAGCTGAACGGGAAAAGGCACAGTGGATATCAACAGAAGGTGCAGAAGACTACTTTGATTGCAGGCTGGAAAGGAAGTGACTCAGGATGCTTTGAAGAAAGTGAAGTGTGTAAATGAGAAAAGGTCCATCTGCAACCAGAGTGAGGTTCTTCAAGATTTAATCTGTACTATATGCTCTTTCTCTGTAGCTATCATTTTCCATGTATGGTTTTCTAGGCATATTCCATAGTCCAGAAACATCACAGAGAATGTAGTCTCCCACACAAGATGTTCTTGGACTTAAAATAATATTAGTTCCAGTAATGGAAAGGAATACTTGGAATCTACTTCAGATGCTTTTATTCCTTCTCCAAACTGCTAGCATATTTTCCTTCATGGGGGACATCTTCAAGCAAGCCAAGGGAATTTTGGGGTACTGATATATGGCATGAGTTTTAAATGAAATCGGAATATGTGACTGATTCCTGCAGTCAGTCCAAGATTTTGAGGTTTTTTGAATCTCTCAAACTATACTTTAGATTGCAGAACCAGACTCAAGTTTGCAAATTACTTTTCATCCGCTATGTTAGTTGGCATAAAACTTAAGAAATGCAAGGTAAGGTAGTAAAAACATGCTAAAAAGGCTTTGTCGTGTCTTAATGATAAAATTGCTACCTTGCTTTTAACATCACTTAACCTAGATTTTTCAGTTCTCTATTTACAGAATTAGGGTGCTGAGTTCCTGTATAAGTCAGGTGAACATTTGAAGGTAGAGAATAAGCAGAAAAGATTTTCTGGCATCAAGAGAAAAAAAGTAGTCATTAGACAAGGATAACTAGTAGGAAGAATGCTGTTTCTGCTATCCTTCAAGTTTTTCCCAGCAATTACTTCAAGTGACCTTTTCATCACGGAATTTTAAGTAAACTAGTTGTTTTTCAAATCTTAAAAAACAAAAAAAAAAAAAAAAAAAAGTATCTTATCACCCTAGTAACTCTTATTTTGGTTAGCTAAACACCAAATACTTAGAAGCAAGGAGCAATGTCTCTGTTCTACCTAATTGAAAACTTACAGTTCCTGAAATGCCTGATTAATTCTATGGGCACTCAATTTTTTGCCTTTGTTTATGTCCACAGCAGTCTGTATTTCAGCAAGGTGGAGCAGTTTGATAGATATGTTTCAGCTCAGCCCCTTTGGGATCCTTGCATGAGTCATCTGTTTTCCTTAACCAATCTCTCTCTTCTTGCTCAGAGTAGGTCCAACATATCAATAAATAAATGAGCGTCTCAGAAAACAGCTTTGTGCTAACTGCTTTCCTTGGAATGAGTAGTTGGAAGAAGAGGACACAGTGGGAATACTCTTCCAGAGTATCTAGCCCAACCCTCCTGCTGTGGGTGGGAACATCTTTCACTAGATCATGGTGCTCAAAGCCCCATCCAATCTGATCTTGAACACTTCCAATTATGGAACATCCACAGCTTCTCTGGGCAACCAGTTCTAGTGTCTTACCATCCTCATCATAAAAAATTTCTTCCTCATGTCCAGTCTAAATCCACCCTCTTTCAGTTCACAACCATTTGCCCTTGTCATGTCACTACAGGCCCTGGTAAAAAGTTTACTCTACTCCTTTCTTAGAAGCCCTCTTTATATATTGACAGGCTATGATAAGGTCTCCCAGCACATTCCCTTCTCCAGGCTGAACAACCCCTACTCTCTCAGCCTGTCCTCATAGCACGGTTGTTCCACCCCTCTGATCTATTTTGTGTCCCTCCTCTGGACCCACTCCAACAGGTCCATGTCTTTCCTGTGCTGAGGGCTCCAGAGCTGGATGCAGGACTCCAGGTGGGATCTCACCAGAGCGGCGCAGAGGGGCAGAATCCCTTCCTTCAACCTGCTTGTCAGGCTTCTTGTGATGCAGCCCAGGATACAGTTGGCCTGCTGGGCTGTGAGTGCACATTGCCGGCTCATGTCCGATTTTTCATCTACCACTATCCCAAGTCCTTCTCCACAAAGCTGCTCTCAATACATTCACCACCCAGTCTGCATTGATACTGGGGATTGCCTTGGCCCAGGTGCAGGACCTTGTCCCTTCCCTCAAGCATATCACATCTTAGTAGTGTCTTCCTTAAGGTAAACAAGTGATTCTACTTTTTGTCTCTATCTTAAATTTCCTTGAAAAAAATTCTTAAAGAACATCGGAATTTATCACAATTCCACATGTGGACCTCTCATAAAAGCAGCTGACCTTTTATTCAGTCTATTTTATTTCTCCCAGGACATAATTCTTAATATATGGTGTTAAAACAGACAGTAAAATACAAATCCTGTTTAATGATGTACTGGAGCACAACGGTCAATTAAGGAAGATCTGAGATGAGTATCTTAAAAACCTTTAAAATCAAATCTAGTGATGTAAGTAAGCACCTAGCCTAAGCATTTCAATTAGCAACTGAGTCTACATTTTCCTAAATGCCAATAGGTTTAAATCACCTTAATTCAGAATTATTTTTTTTATATCGAGATGAACTTTGAACATTATGCAGTATTCTTTATTGTCCAAATCATAATTTGTCTTAGGAGTCAAAATACTTCCAAAGAGAAACCTTTTAACAAAAACTACTCTTCTTCATTACCAAATGTCAGTAGTCACGCTACATTACTTTGTTCTCCAGATTTTAGCACTTTGGCCAAACAAGGAAGTGTCAGATAAGAAATGCGTATTTGTCAGGTTGCTGTTGACAATGTTGGGGGGGGGGGTTCTGTTTTACCTGTAGCAATCTGAGCATTTTTTAATGCCTTTGCAAATATTTTTGCAAATGTAGCTAAGGATTAATAAACTGACACTTAACAATTTTTGTACCTTGAAGTCAATCGGAATTTGATGGATGAGGGCTTTTAGTCTGAAGTAAAAGTAAATAGAAATCTTAATGAAACAGCTTTTTCTCTGTATGGTGGTGAGAGAGAACATGTCAGGCTTGGAAAACGGAGCCCAATTCCCCATCCAGAAGCACAGCTCAAGTCAAAAAAGATGTGATTCCCAGCTGAATGAGAAAACCCTCCTCCCGTGCCTTGCGGCAAGATGCAGCTGTGCTTGCTTCAGCTGTGAAGCCCAGCTGGGAGGTGGGTGACCGAGCTGTGTGACTCCAGGTCTCCCCCTTCGTTCGGTCCTGTGGCGCTGAGCCCACTGAGGCACTTTCCACCCTACTTCATCATCTTCTGTATTAGCAGGTTTCCTAAGTAATAAACTCTTCCCAAGCACTCTGTGGGGGTTTTTTCCTCCTCTTTTTCTGTCCTTCAGGTGTTCACAGAGTAGCCGCAGACGCTTAGTTCCCTTTCTTTGTCATTTGTTTCTGGCAGGTGAGAAGCCGGAGTCGGAGCAAGATGAAGTTAAGCTGCAGAACGCCAGCAAGCAGATTGTGCAGACCGCTATCCTCCGAGCGGTGCAGCAAGTTTCCCAGGAGAGCCAGCAAAAAGAGAAGCGAACAAACAGCAGTACGAGCCACCAGCTAGAAAGAGGAAAATTAACCAAGAAGCATGAAAAGAAGTAAAGGAGCAGATTGGGTTTTTTATTCCTCCAGTCTGCAGTGTCTTCAGCCTTCTCTTTAGTATATCAGCTGTATTGCTAGTGCAATGTTACTGTTGTAAAGCAAACCAAAGTGTAATCACACCTAGACATAGGGTAAAGCTGCAATAGTCCTCAGCTGAGAAAATATTTCTATATTAAGTGCATTAGATGACTAACTCCATATTTATGCAGTGCCTCTTAACAGAAACAATAACCATAGCTATAAAGGTAGTTTCAAGCACAAGCTCTTATGGTATGGACTTATTCTCAGACGCTTGTTGTCGGTGCACTTTCGTGCGAGTGAGTTCTGCGTGCAACGTTTATGTGAGCTCAGCTGGATGGACTCTTCCCTGAGTTACTGGGGTCACTGAAGCTGTCTTCATGGAAGAGATAGTTCACTGTTGAGTGTAGCAGAATGTTTTCAGGCTGCCTTGAAGCGTGAGTTTGTGCTTTGCTTTGATCAAACATGGACTGTGTGAAATGGCAGTATGAAGTGGATTTGGTAAGTTCTGTGAACCAATTTCTTTTTTCATGTTGGGGAAAAAAAAAAGCAATCCAGTAAGACTGCAGTGACTGTGATCTCTGACTGTGATCATAGACCTATGATGTACGTCCTTTTTTAAAGTTAAAAGAAGTACTGAAGTTTTAGTCTACTTATTTGAAATACTTCTATACTTCTGCATAAAGATCACTTGTGCCTCGACTATTCCTTTTGATTTTCTTGTTACTGAAAGAAGAGGAACTGATGTGCTGATATGGAGTTTGCCAGCTTTTCCTTCAGTTTTACAAGTTTGCTGGGGATTGATTTACAGAGAGTGAAGGCTGGAGTGGCTTAACAAAAAGTGTTTGAATTTATTAATATCTTGAAGGATGGAAATATACTGTGTCTGAATTCTGTCACGGTAGATATTTCTCACCTGCTGGGCGTAAAGTGACTTTATATATTTGCAATCGTTACATAGATTCAGCTTAAATAGCACTGCTTTAAGCTGGTAATACAGAATTTATCCTTTAACTGCTCTATATAGCTGAAGAAATCCATGATATTTCTGAAAATACAAATTAAACAAATGTAGCTTTCACTTTTATGCTCCCTTACTGTAATGATGATTGCACTATTATACATCTGAAATGAATAACAGTATATTTAATTCTAGAAATGGCTTGTAGCTCTGCTTCAACTGAATTCTTGTAGTAATACACCTAGAAATATAGAGAAGCAGATGCATGAAGGAGAATGCAAAGAAGGAGACAAACTTTCATAATTGCTTTTCTACTCAGCTAGGTGATTCTCAAAGAGAATTTTTGGTTTAAGTAATTGGCTATTACTTACGGTGTCCTACTGCTTGTGTTAAACAATTTTAGGATTCTTTCTCATGGCCAGAGGCTTAGTCATGAATAGCCATATACTGTAATATTAAGCCTTTGAAATCTGCATGGTTCCATTTTTAAAAAAAAATTTAACAGCACTGACTCATACCAGATAATGATTTAACTCAATCTTTTTTCACTTAAAAAGGTAAAGAATTCAACCTGATTAAAGTTTTTCTAAATCCTCTAATAACGAAAACTGACTTGGATTGCAAGTACACAGTTGGTTCACTTCTATAGACACTGGGTAAATTTTTCCAGCCAAGCAAACTTTGAAAGGTGGAGGTAGTTGTGTCTTGAGGCATGTGCATATTTGTCGTAATAGTAATTTTTTTACCATTAGCTTTTTTTACTGGTTGACCTTTGGTTGGGAGGTAGCTCTTTTCTAAGCACTCTTCGCATCTTTTTGCTTTCTGAGAGCCTAAGAAAACTGATCATGAGTAAAGCTTCAGTTTTGAGGCTGATGGGTAGGCAAGTCTAGGGGGAGAGCAAGCCTGTTGGAGAGACTCTATGGTGCAAAATGGTGTTTGCCATGGAGTCGCCCATAGTGCTGTAGGAAGGAGAGCTGTAGGACAGCAAAATCCCCATTTCTTAGGGATTTTTTGACTTTTTAAAATGCTTTTTGTCTCCAGAGATTTGCAGTATGTCTTTTATTTTTATGCCTCTGTTAATCATTTTAATAATTTTCATGTAGTTTGGGAACTTGTTTGCATGTCCAGTTTTTTTTAAATGACCATGTTAGAAAAAGAGGAATTTCAAAACCCAGTGAATCCAGGCTTTTGCCACTGCTTCATATGAGCTTATTCCACTCCTCCTCCCACTATACTCTTCTACAATATCCCTTTACTGTCCTAGCCCTTTTAAACACACTATTACTCAACCATTAAATCATGCCCATCATTTTCAGTGCTGTCAGAAGGCTGATAGCTTGGAAAGATAAAAATGGTAGGAAGCCTAAGAGAGCCTTGAGGAAGTTTTCTATGGTCTCCTGTCGAGATAAAACAAATACTGTAGCTTAAATAGTGTAATTTTCACTGAGAGCCAGATAACGCTTCTCCTATCTATAATATATATCCCTAAATTAAGGCATGCACTTAGTATCTCCTATTGACAAAGTGTGTTCTGCACACCACTTGCATCCAGGATACGTAGTTGATATCTGTACCACATGTGAGAGAACTGCATAAAAGAAAACTTTACCCTTGGCTTGTTATATGCTTACTACATGGTGAAAGCAGGTATTTTGGTATCTTCACTGACAGATTATATTTTCTGGAGAAAATGCAGACTATAGAAATTATTACAGATGTGATGCAGGTCTGATTAAAAATAAAGAAATTCTCAAAGAAACTCTTAATACCTTACATGTCTCTGGTTTCTCTTGTCAAAAGAAGGGAAGCAATTTTCAGATTCACTAGACAATCTTAGGGAAGCAAGCAATGTGCTTATGAGGTTTGTAGTAATGAATGCGTTATTTAGCACAATAATTCATATCTTCAAAGTATGACAATCAAAATTGCATCTGTACATATTTAAAACAGACTCACCACCTTTTAGCACTTATCAGTGGGAAGTAGAAGGATGCAGAAACATGTGAAAGTATATTTATTACAACTTTCATAGAGAAGAATTGGGTGTCTGTGGCTATCCTGCACTGTGCCTGCAATGTTTTCATTCAGGTTGATTATCACAATTTTATTACCATACTTGTGCTATTCTTTGTAGTGTAATCAAGCAGCAACACCTAAATGGAAATTTATGTGGCCACAGAAGGATGTTGTAAGAGATTGCTGAATACCACTGTTCATAAAGTTTTTGGTTCTGTGTGGTTACGTTAGAAATCCCTCCTCTAAAATAAAAAAAAACACCTGTGACTTGGAAACAGGCCATCTTAATTTTATAATTTCAGAAAAATAAAAGCATTCTGTGATAATATTATGGTTAAGAGTTGGAAATGCTTGAATATTTATTCAACAGCAAACAATACACTTTAAAATCTTACAGTCTCTACTCATGTAGCGTCTGATTTTTTTTTTTGGTGATTTTTTTAAGTATCTCAGAATATGTTATGTCTACAATGGTAAGTATATAAAAATGGCAATGTAACCATTCTCAATATGATTACCATGAAATAGGCTGTGGTTGTTCTTTAAATGTGTGCCAATGTCAAATACAGGAGTTAACGTGTCATTACTGAAGGCTCTTCTAATAAAGTTTAATCTAAATTAGGGAAAAAGGTAAGAGGAAGTAGGATAAATTCTTGACAGGATGTGGGATTCACTCTAAGTCTCTTGGTTACCCACTCAGGTCTAAGAAGAAATTAAATTAATGAAAACCTGAATATTGGCATAGCCTAATTTCTCTCAGTGGGTACCTGCAACACAGGGATCAACTTGTTAAAAGAGTTTATGGGAGTGAGGGGGAAACCAGAGCTGTCAATAATGTCTTCCTCACCTGACAGTAAGGAGTGAGCAGCAGTACTGATGGAGCCTGGTTTCTAATGGATGCGTTTTCTTGCTGTTGGGTTTTCTCATCGTTGGCTTTTGGTGCCTCATGATAAGCTCTAGCAGAACCATTTTTCCTATTTTGGGTTTTCCAGAACAAAGGGATTCTCTGAGGTCTAATAGGTTTTTAATTTGTGCTGTATCCTGCCTTTCAAAGGGAGCAGAAGTAAAGTCTCTTTTCTCTACTTGCAGAGCTTCATTCACAAAACCTGATGGACACGCATGGGCTTTTGTTTTTAATATCACTGTATCTTCACCGGATTTAGTCAACATGACAAAAAAATTTCTTTAATCCTTAAGACTGCATGGATGAACACACATACTAGCTGTCTTTGAGTGCTCTGGGGAACATCAAGAAATAGATACATATTTTAAATGCATTTGCTTCTAAGGTGTTCTAGTCTGCCAGGCAGATTTTCTTTGTTTAATTAACATAAGCAGCTTTTCTTTTTTAATAACACTTCCTCCAGTGACTAGCTACTTGGATTTTGTTATATGAGCTCGCTAGTTTTACCACTAAAACAACAATAGTTCATGTTTAGTTTGGGTTTGATTAGAACCACTGTGGAATTACATGTTCATTGTGGTGTGGCTTTTGTCTTTTCTTTCACTAAAGGTGAGTAGCAACAATAAGTAATGTTCTAAAGAAAAGGAAGTGTGGGGGTTTGTTGTGGAGGTGTTTTGTGTTGTGGTCCCCCCCCCAGTTGCCTGTAGCAGGAGGCCACGCAGGGTAGATCATCATGGATCGCTCACATGCATTGTGACAGTATCTGGGTGTAGAACTTGGACGAAAAGAGAGAAAATTAACTCTCATGCCAGCTGGAAACTGAGCCCACCTAAGCTGATTATAAAACATTGAAGTAAGACACACCTGGTAGCTTTAAGGGAAATGTTTTATGTGTGCTTTCAGAGTTGAAAGCCATTTAGAAACACCAGCTAGTGAAGACTGTAATTGCTTGTTATGTGATACGAGGTGGAAGGTGAACATTACTGCATTGTTCTGAAGACTTAAATGCCACCTTCTTGTGTCTATGGAAAACTTTGAATTGTGTCCTTTGACGGAGTGACCCATTTGCTCCTGCCCTTTGGAGTGAAGAGCTGCTATTCT